CTTAGAATTAGCTGAGTTATCTTATTCTACCTAGGTAGAATTAATACTTATAGGTATAGGCGACTGTATCTAATCACATTAGGTAATAACTAACTTACTGACGATATATCCGATTGTGTACCACCTAGTTGTGAAAAAGTTGTCTGATTTATTCGAGAATATAGATTTTACTAGCCGGCTAGCCTTTATACTGGCCTCTTTTGGCCTATACAATGGTATCTACCTGTATATTAATATAGTAGTATATACTTCGAATAGTCTTAAATCGAAAATAACTACTTAGAATGACAATTCGCTACCTTTAGTATAAAATGATCTATAAACCTCTTAGACGAAGCCTTACCTATATTAATAATACTATTTAGGGATAGTTAAAGGTAGAAAATAACTAGACCCTAACTATAACGCCTAGCTAGGTTACCTATTTAAAGTCCCTAGTATTAGTAAGTATAGCGATTGATGGTAGATTAGAGGCTATTAGTCACTGATATAGAGATCCTTAGAATAGTTAAAGTCTGATTTATAATCTGGCTATAGGTATCCAGTGACCTCTATATCTAAGGATAGCTTTAACAATCCTAGATATAAGACTGTTAGTAGGCTACGACCGTTAAAATCATCTGCTATAGTAGTGGCGATAGAGGATTTAGGGTTAGATAGCGATATAGATACCGGAACTTGTCTATAACTATCTAATATTAGAATCGAACCGTTAGTTTAGTAATTTCATAGCGATACCTACTTTCCTTAGTGTAGGAAGCCTATAAAGGATATAGCTGTTCCTACCCTATAGTCCTCTTCTATAGATAAATTTATTATAGGGATCTAGCGGTAAGTATATTCCCCTGTTACTTTGAGTATCTCGTTTCTAGTATATTTTCTATTAAGTCTACGCTAGTTAAATCCACTATTACTAACTAGAGTATAGGACTATAGACTAGAATTCAGTCTTAGAACTGGTATTAGTTAAGTAGTATGTACGAATTCTTTCTACTAGGGTAGCAGGCGTTATTATATCCTAATAGCGATATTTATAGGTTTTTTGGGCTATTAATGGTTTATATAAGAAATACTATAACTAGAGCCGGTTATTATGGGCTCTGGAAATAGTAGTGTAAGTATACTAGGTAGAATGCTATAAAGCATAGATTATATTAATTCATCTTAAGTTCCTAAGCTATACGAATACTGAAGCTCGAATAGTAGCTCTAAAAGAAGCCTATATTATATTAATATAGTATAAAAAGGAGTTTAGAAATAGGATATAAGTTATTCTTTCGGTCTATAGTTTAAACGCCCCTTCCTTATATCTATATATTAGAATTTATTATTGATTATTCTCTAGGGCGGTTTAGTATAGCTATAAAGAAATTAAAGATTCTGGGGATTAGGCTAGTCTAATATTTACTAGGTCCGGTATTTATTGTGTATATAAATATAAGATAGGCTTTGATAACGGACTTATATCTTGGTTACGCTATATCGCTTCTAACCTTAAAGTTACTGTAGATACTCTCTACCCTGGTTAGTAAGACCTTCTCTGAGTTATTAGCTAAAATGGGTCTTACCGATACTCTGGTCACCCTTATAAATAGGTTACGCTAGATACTAGGCTAGTATTACCGCTTAAAACCACCTACCGCTATCTAATATTACTAAACGGCTTTAATTATAAGTTTATGAATAACTGTATGATCGATCCTAGTGTATTTGGTGGAGATAACCCTCGATATAGGTAGGAAATTGATCCTAATATTTATCGACTGTGTAAGGAATAATAGACCGATAATATAATCTCTAATTACTGTTCTTATTTCTTGGCTTTGTTTAGTGGTATTCGTTATCCCCCTCCTATCTAGTTATATAATATAGCTAGTAGGAAGAATAATAGGGTAATTACCCGCTATATATATTATATGTAGATATCCTATCTAGTCTTTACTAACTGCCCTTAATACAGTAATCACTAATATTTAGAAGGAATTCGACCGAGGTATAGCTATTGTAGAGTTTATTGGCCTTATTACTTAAGGAATTGAAGGTCTAGATGTAATGATAGGCGGAAGCCCAGAACGACTATATTAGGTCTTCTAAGGTTAAATAGGTAATTTTACTTACTTTATTAATCACTTATATTGCCCTAATAGCTAGTTTTAGAAGTTTTACTAATGTAGAATAGAATATATACTTATAGTCTCTCGCGGAGTGACTGCTGGAAGTAAGATTATAGTCAATTATTCGGATTCCTACTAGGGGAAGCTAAAGAAGAATTATCTATATAGGGAGAATAGCTGCCGTTTTACCTATTAGGCAGAGATATAGGTGATGGGCTAACTTATATATTTACTAAATATATTATATTATATAAGTGTATTACTTTGGTTATAGTATAGACGAGAGTACGTGTAGAATAGGGCTACCCTTAGGAAAGTTGTGGGAATCTACGAAATCACTCTGCTAAGTAGCGAGCTATTCGAAGTCGGGATATTGCCATGATCTATCGTAGGTGAGTCGAAATAAATAATGAAGGTCCTAGTTGAACTTATAGTAGTATAGAAATGTTATAATAGAAACTAGGTATTATTATACCTTATATTAGTAGATGGTAGAGGACTTATAAGATAGTAAGAGGTATTAAGAAGAACGACTGCTTAAATAAATAAGGGGTAATCTAAGAACCTCCTGTATATAGATTTAATTTAAAAAAATCTAGTATTTATAAGTAAAGTATCAACTCCTATTATAGGAACCGAAGGCTGCTACTAGGCTCCTAGATAACGTTCTCCTAAACTAGGCTTTTACGATCTAGAACCGATATACTGAATTGTGACCTATAAGTAGCGAACTTAGTCTATAACCTGTAGACCGCGCTTCCTTTATAATTAGAGTCTGTGGCTTTCGTAGATAATAGAACCTCTAGCGATATAGGGGTAGCTGGTATCGCTAATATAAAGCTAGGTATCTGCGTAAGGTTAATGGATAATATAGCTATAAGGTAGCTGGCGAAAGACGGCTATTGAACCTAGCTCTTCCAGGTAAATGGAACATTCGCCTGGAGGGAGTAATATAGTATTTTAATAGTCTATATATAACTTAGTTTTCGGCTCTGGTTTGTTTTGTTATTTTAGAGACTTAAGCTTAGGCTGAAATTTGTATAGGGTAATAGACCACAGTTAAAGCGATCTTGATATATTGAATAATATGGTAGGCGTGTAAATAATAGCTTATATGCTGTTAATAGGCCCTTTTCTTCGGATAATGGAATATGTAAATAACGATTTATTATTTAAAAAGAGATAGGGTGAAATTGGCTTAAGTGGGATATGTAATAGCGAGAAATATGCAAATGTTTATTACCTGGGGGTTAGATATATATGTTAATACAATTTGAAAGTCTATCTCTAATGAAGTCATCTCTTTACTAGAATCTCTTATATGACGTATGCCCGTCCTTACTTAAAAATCATAAGGTTTGGATCGGTCTTATGCCCGACTTAACGGAATAAAAGTTAGGATCTAGTGGTAGCGTTATGTCTCCCTCGCCTGTCTCATACATATGTAATAAGGTCAGCGCGAATCCGGAAGCGGGACACTGTAGTCTGAAACGTATAACAAATTCAATATGCTTCAGCTTATATTAAGTGCCTGTCTATGGATGAACACTGGTTGTCAAATGAAATGTGGATTTGCCACGCGACTATTGAGCATGGGGTCACATCTCAAGTCAGGAATTAACATAAGCAAGTGCCGACGGCGGAAAAATGCATACAAAATAACGCATTTGGTATGAAATACTTCAATATTGAGACCAGCGTGCCGGAAATGTCCGTGAGCACTGTCTTGCTTTGCTCGCACCTTGTCGATACACCATTTAAGGAAGTTCTCAAACCCTTGATCCACAAATTTCCACAATCCACTCTCGATACCCGGTATTCACAATTGCTATGGTTGATTTTTCCAGTAAGTCTCTAGTAAGTCATGATATGTGCGCTAACGCACCATGTGGCGGTTTGTTCCCCGGCCCCAATTGATGTTGGGCCAGGGAAATGTTTGTTAGGGATGCTCCGGGACGTCCCTGGACGAACTCAATATGGAAGATTTTCGGACTCTGCGACGGAAGAAAACTCGCTTGGTCCATTTCTAGGCTTCGACGCCGATGAAGAACAAGACAGCCTCGACTGCCACGATACCCTATTCCCAAGTGATGGGCTTATGTTTGAAGACGACGTCGTTCAAGACGGGGATATAGATCATAGGGAACATGGTGATCCATCCGGCCAGATGGACCAGAAAAGAAACTTGTTCCGCCAGACATCGTACATCCATTGTGTAAAGTATTTTTTGGATTTTGGCTGCATGCGGAAGAACGAGCGGCGCATGTTGACCATCTCCCAAGCCAGAAACAGTGTAAACCAAGTTAAGCAAACGAACGTGGTGGCACGTGCTCGGAAGACTAGTTCGCAGTCTTTGATCTCTTCTGACCACTTAGCTTTTTCAAACAATCAGAGTACTGGCTGCAAGCTCTTAATCTCTAATCGCCCCAGCCGTGTTTAATGAGGTTTCCCAACAGCGGAACAAATTCACCAGAGATGAGGAGTTGAAGAAAAGCCCAAAGCGAGATCCTTGATATAAAGAAGACGAAAACAATCGCTATTGAAGAGACCTTTGCTGTCAACGAGAACGAAAAGGCGGAAGCAGAAAGAATCCCTTTGCCAAATCAGAAAACTTGCCTGGTCAATGTAGCATATCATGTTGATAAATCCCAAATTTCCCAGGATTAGAATGAGGTATATGTATATTTGCTGGTAGGTCTCCAAGAACTTGACGTCAACGCTGAAAATCAACGCATCAACAGTGTATCGTCGTTTAGCGGGACCATTGAGATCGAAAAGGATAATAAAACACTCACGTATTCAGACCCGACTCGGCCGACGCGCTGGCGCCGAAGAAATAAGCATTAACTGCCTTCAGGTTACCATAAGGATATATGATAACCAAGCTCAGCACGCTGAGGGTGATAATCCACGGGTCTGTCAGTGATGGTTAGAAGTTACCAATGCACATACGATGCACGGGTGATACTTTATTGGTGGTTTCCACATAGTACAAGACGCACCGAACTGTACAAAGGTGGAAGAATGAGAAGAGGCCTGCCAAACTCAATATATAGTTGCGGCATTATCGTGATTTTAATAATTGCCGCATGCAATACTACCCGGGACAGCGGCGTATTTGCGTGAGGGATTTGCCACACAATCACGCCTGGGTTTGTGTGCTAGCTATCGTTTGCGGCGGTACCCGCCAGCTTCCCCATGAAGACCAGTGCTCGCCAATAGATAAGCACGCTTTGGTCACCCATCCTGTTATATCGTCCGCACTAAGGGAAACCGAACGGCGTGACCAAGCCTCACCTCACGCGGCAAAAAAATAGTCGCCGCTGTCAGATGAGTCTGAGCCATCCCTGTAATCTAAAGCTAGGAAGTACGCTCGACAATCACACCGAAGTATTCTCACCCAATATGATGGCAGGCTACTAGGCCCCACCTCTTTTGTGCCGAGCCACAAAAAAACAATTAGGTGAAGAAACGTATCGATGATTTGTTGGCTTTGGAGCAAGTCGTCCGTTTTCTTTTCTTCTTCTTCTTCTTCTTCTTCTTCTTCTTCTTCTTTTTTTTTTTGATGCGAAACCAATCTTTGTTGTCAGACATCGCTCTCGTGGCGATGACTACGTACTATACCTCTTGCGGGGTGGACACACCTTCGGAAATGAAGCATTCAGGCAGGTCATTGTGACCAAAGAAGCAATATACTATCCAATTTCTTTTTACATCACTTTCGGAGGTATCTTACAAGCATATCTGCATACTGGACAGCACGCTCGACGCCAGAGTAACCACTTATCCACACAGTCAACATGGAAAGCATGGTCACAGGGGAGGCCGCGAACTTTGATCTCATCTTCCATGGTATCTAGGCATATAGCGCATGCATCACCGGAAACCGTTTTTTCTACCGGCCAAACTGGAGATACGGCACTCTGTATAGTCTGACAACTACTTTCAGGGGCTTTCGGGGTAAGAGAGAATTCGAAAAGTCTGTCCTTACTCCGAACTTCCTCAGAAAGGTTTACTTGACCTTGAGCCCCGACACTTGCATTCAAGTTGGACAAATGCACTGGGTCTTCGGTGGGAGATTGGGGAAGTAGTGCTGATACATTGGGGTCCGACAAGGTCTTCTGAGCTTCAGTCGCAGTTTGAGGGAAGCTCATTCTATGTCACTCATTAGCACAAGCCTGTACCGCAGGCAAATAAAATGTTTACATGGCACCTTTGTTCGTATTGTTGGCTCTTCCACATTTTGTATTCGATCATGGGTAGGTATTTGTTGAGGTCCTCTACGGTCAGAGGTTTCTCCTGCACTTTGGACTGGTTTGCCTGCAGCTGGAAAACGCTAGGAGGAACTGCCGCAGGATTTCCTTCTGTGGAACGTCTTCGGATGTAACAGAACCAACGAGTAAAGGCAGCGAAACTAGATAAATAGACAGGTTATTTTGACTCTTTAAGGTTCGTTGATAATGTCTGGTAAATACTCACCATAGACCAATGATCAAGGCAGCGCATATGACTGCGGTGACAGCAGTGGAGGCTGTTGGGCCATTTGGAGTCGCTGACATATTTTCCTTTCATTTTATATAAAACAAAAGCTGGTCGGTATTGTAATATCAGAGAGGTTGAACTTGCATATATAAGTATTCCCTTGATTTGCCTGGCGGGAAACAGTCATTTGATGCAAAAAGCGGGATTTTTTTGCGCCATACAGATCCATCATGATCATCATATTTCTACTACTGTACAAGATGTAAGACATGTTTACATAAGTGGATTCCCTTAGAATGTTAGCGCTCACGTGCGGGGCTGCTTTTGTGGATTAGTGACCCAAAAGAAGTTCATGCCGTAGATAGCCCATCAAGACGGTTGGCTCAGAGGACATGATATATTTTTGACAAACACAGGTTCGATTGCAAAATTAATGGAGCGGAGCTTAATCTACCAATTTCAGGAGAACTTGGTATTCTTCGTACCACTCCCACGCTAATGTCTTAGCACCCTACCCGCCTACCTTCTTAATGGTTGACCAATCTTCGTCAACATCGTCTTAGAAAAGCGAGCCATTACGTCTGGCTCGTTGGCCCTCTGCTACGTCGACTGTCACTAGCGAGTCGCTTGATATCTCTTTGTCCCGCTGGAATGGAAGGCTTCGCAAGGCCGAGAAAGAGAAGTTATCTACCAGGCAATGCGTGCTACGAGAGAGACACTTCGGCCAATGATATTACTAGAATATTAAAAATAAGCCCCAGGCAGCTGATTTAACTGTACGGGGTAAAGCTTTCTATATGATGCTCAGCCTCGCTTATTCGAAGAGCGCGCTAGCCACGGAAGCGAGTTAGTCAAGCCGCAAGCAGCGACCCAGGGCCAAACTTGATTTGCCTAGCAAATCCCTCACACTCAAATCCTTCTATCGCTCTGGTTTATGTTGTATCGGTAATTATTCAAATTGCGATAAGCCTGCGCTATATAATGTAATTTGGCAGGCCCTTTAGAACCCTTCCTAAAGCAATCCTGCGAGTTTTGTGCCATGTGGAAGCCATCGATAAACTTTCTCGCCCTGCATTGTATGTCCATCGGCAGTTACACAATATCCCCTTCTAATCCTTCTTCGCAGATGCGTGGATTATCACCCTCAGCGTTCTGAGCTTGGTTATCATATATCCTCATGGTAATCTGAAAGCTGTCGATGCTTATTTTTTCGGAGCCAGCGCGTCGACTGAGTCAGGTCTAAATACGTGAGTTTTTATTGTTATTTTTTCCATCCTTATAAGTCGGCTAAACAAAGACTTTCCATGGGTGTCAAGTGTCGACGTCAAATCTTTAAAGACCTACCAACAAGTGTACCTATACCTCATTCCGATCCTAGGAAACTTGGGGTTCATCAACATCATCGTAATTGTATTTCGGGTTCGATGGTTTGAAAAGCGCTTCAAAGCAATCGGTTAGAAGTCTTCCACCACCTAACCCCCTACCCAACGCCATCATCGAGAACTAACTTGCTTCTCCAAAATATAGCTCCGAACCTTTTGAGACCAGAGGCTCCCCCCGAACAAGACGCAGAGGCACAGTTGAAGCACAAAAAAAGTTTGAATAACCATGATGATGAAGCCCAAAACGATCAATTTAGCAGCCACGAAATAGACGACTCGGAAAAAGAAAAGGCGTGTGTTGAGACTTGGGACAAATTTTCGAGGTTGGTTTCGATGCCATCGATCAGCTACAGACTCTCAAACGTAATGGGTACTAACTCATACACCAGAGTTTCCCTGGAATTGAACGATGCAAAAGCCGATGACACAGCGGTTTCGAACATCAATCCGACAAAGCAAACCATTACATTCGCTGAAGACAATCGGCCGTCTTCCGACAAGGATAAAGCTCTGTATATTCCGCCTCCGTGGAAACGTGAAAGAGGTATACACAAATCAGGTTCATATCTTCCTCCGTTTCTCACAATACTATACAGGTGCCTCGTTTTCTGAGATTGATGAAAGGCTTCATGATGAAGATGATGGTTAGTCCTGATAAGGTCGCGCCTAAACGTAACTCCAAGTTAATCGCTTCGCTAACCTGGTTCTTACAAGGACGAACCGAGAAAGTCCTTAGTCGTCGACCGACTACTAGAAGCATGCAGTCTCGTACTCACACCCTTGAGCGAGTTGTAACCTCCGTGTTTATTTTGGGAGGCTTTTCTAGCTCTGACCGAGGGATGCCAACCACAAAGCGGAGGGACATAAAGCAGCTCAATTTGCCGCATATGTCTTCACAAGCTACAATAGGCCGGAACTCTCGGTTCCATAATCTGTCTGCCAAAGATCGGGAAACACTCGGCGGTATCGAGTATCGAAGCTTGAAGCTCCTGTTAAAAATTGTTGTTGGATATTTCTTTGGTCTGCATTTATTCGGTGCAATCTGCCTTGTGGGGTGGATTCTGCACGCGGATCCGAAATACCGTGATTACCTTGCTGAATGTGGGCAAGGCAATGTTTGGTGGTAAGTCGGCTCCATGAACTATAATCAACGGTATAGAAGCTGATCTCGTTTACCGCGCGATAGGGGCTTTTACTCCTCTCAGACGATGATTGACAATCTTGGCTTTACTCTAACACCAGATTCGATGATTTCGTTTCAAGATGCGACTTTCCCAATGATCCTTATGAGTTTCCTTGCATTTGCCGGGAACACTTGTTATCCGTGCCTTCTTCGACTTATTATCTGGATTTTCTACAAATTTTGCCCGGCTAAATCCTCTCTTAAAGATCCACTAAGATTTCTGCTCGATCATCCGCGACGGTGCTATACGCTGCTTTTCCCAAGCGGGCCGACGTGGATTCTCTTCGGAATCTTATTCCTTATGAACTCAATCGATGTTATTCTCATCATTGTGCTGGACTTGAAAAATCCCGCCGTGAATAATCTCGCACCCGGTCCTCGAGTCCTCGCTGCTATTTTCCAAGCCGCATCGTCGCGTCATACGGGTACATCAACTTTCAACTTGGCTGATGTGAGCCCAGCCGTCCAATTCAGCTTGGTGGTCATGATGTATATTGCGATTTTTCCGATTGCCATTAGCATCAGAGCTTCCAATGTTTATGAAGAAAGAACGCTGGGTGTATATACCACTGACGGTAACATCGACGAGCATAACGGCCGGTCTTACATTGTCAATCATATTCAGAACCAACTGACCTTTGACTTGTGGTACATTTTCCTCGGCAGCTTTTGCATCTGCGTCGCCGAGGCCGGCAAGATCGCAGATACGTCAATTCCAGTAAGTGATTGGTCTCAAATTTCGCGATACTAAAATTCAACCAATTCAGGCCTTTTCTGTATTTTCTGTGTTATTCGAAGTTGTCTCGGCATAGTGAGTTATCCATGCGGTATTTACTCCTTTTGCCTTGACTGATTTCGATTAAGTGGCAACGTTGGACTTAGTCTTGGGTATCCAACTGTTTCTACGTCTCTATCTGGAAAGTTTACCGTTTTCAGCAAGCTTGTCATTTGTGTGATGATGATCCGAGGCCGTCACCGCGGACTGCCCTACAAGCTCGACCGTGCCATTGTTCTCCCAGGCGAACGCCTAGAAGAAGATCACCCAGATAGGGATAAGGCTCAAACCAAGTTTGACTGAAGGAAGTCTCATAAGTCTTGCTCGCAAATTTCTGTATGACAATGTTGTGCTATTATAACAATGTTATAATAGGAATCTTTCGACTAATATATAAGAATCTGGGACAGATAAAGAGATTGAAGTTGGCTTCATTTGGGACGAGGATACGACGCGCTCGGATGTACATCTCATCCACACGGAAGAGCGGAAGTAAAAAAACGAGCAAAGGGACGACCGGCCCGTGTCTAGCCTTCGCTGTGTCAGTCGAAGAGACTTAAAGATTGATATAGGTTTATTTGAGAGTATTGGTATATAACATCAAATGTGTTCTAACATGACAATAATGGTTCCAGGGAACTAATCTTATGGCCCGAGAGGGTTGAAGGCCAAATCGCATTGTTACGGACATGCTAGTCACCAATCACATGTGGGGACCTCAACTGCTGACGGGCCGTTGAGAACCAATTGATTAATCTGTCATCCAGGTCACGTGCGACATCCTATACCCAGGCACTCCCGGGCTTTAGGGAAAAGAGAAACCACGATCATGCTCTTGCTCACTAAGCATGATCCGCCCTGACCAGGACTCACCGACAGGAGCTTTCCAGTATATATATACCAAATTTTCCCTGGCGGATAGGGATTTCCTACTTGGGATACCGTCGCTTTAATAAGGGCGCTTAGACTTAGGCTCACTGGTAGATATTAGTACGAGCTCAGAGTCAGTGATGACCTCAATGTGTTTCTGAGCAGTTGTGGGGCTTTAATAAGTGAGAGGAAGTAAGGCACTAACTAATAACTCTGATTATATGGTATACCAGCCCTATATATCGCTGCTTCAAATTCCCTCTCTTCTAAGGCTACCGGCTACCTACCCCCTTATATTAATTATTTCTATAATTTACCTACTATAAGTTCTCTCCTCTTACTTATTTGTATTCTTAGTAAAGTTCTAGAAATAAAGTTTAATCGAACCAAGTATATATTTAGTGTATAAGAAAATAACCCCTAGGGGCAATGTACTCCTTAAGCCTAACCTACCTATAATCTGTTATAATACCTCCTCTAGAATTTCCCTTCTCCTCTATATACCTGTAATTTCTATAAAATAATATTCTGTTTTCTAGTAAGTGGTTTCCTATAATACGTGTGTACTAAGATAGTGTTTATTCCCTAGCTCCGGTTGATATTAGGCTAAGGAAAGTATATATTAGGGCTGCTTAGGGATTTATTCTAAGGGGGTTAAGTGCGGGCTCTTTCTCGCTCTATAATGAAAGAAGACTCGCTTAGCCTATTTCTAGGCTTCGACTCCAATAAAGAATAGGATAGCCTTAACTACTACGATACCCTATTCCTAGGTAATAGGTTTATATTTGAAGACAATATCGTTTAAAATAGGGATATAGAGAATAGGGAATATAGTGATCTATCCGGCTATAATAGACTAGAAGAGGAACTTATTCTGCTAGATATCGTATATCTATTAGGTAAAGTATTTCTTAGATTTTGGCTATATATAGAAAAACGAGCGGTATAAGTTAACTATTTCCTAAGCTAGGAATAGTATAAACTAAGTTAAGTATATAAACGTTATAGTATATACTTAGAAGACTAGTTTATAGTCTTTAATCTCTTCTGACTATTCCTTATTATAGCTATAGGCCAGGTTACTGTCGCCGAATCCCTATATATAGATAGAGAATACTGCTAGGCAGAGGGCTATAGTCTAGATACTATAAACTAGAATATTAATAATTACCTCCTAGGTAAATATACCCTACTTACTCTAAGGAGGACGGTTTATAATATTAGGTATAGCTACCTCTATTCTAAGGCCTATATTAGGTATACCCGATATGATTATAATAATCTAGAGAATTTCGACTAGCGATAGAGGGAAGATAGATTGATTATCAGTGTCTTTGAAAGCTAATCCGATAAGTAAGGTATAGGCCTATACGATATTTTCTAATAATAGATAAAGTATGAATTTTTGAATATTATTAAAGATACGACGACCTTCTTTAATAGTATTAAGAATCGAGGCAAAGTTATTATCTATAAGTATAATATTAGATATATCTTTAGCTATATCTAAACCTACCTGCCCTATAGTGATACTAATATCAGTATACTTAAGCGAAGGAGAATCATTCACTCTGTTTCTAGTTATAGCTATAAAGCAACTATAGCGATAAAGGGCGTCGATTATATATACCTTAGTCTACAGAGTACACTGTATAATAACTAGAGGTAGGGTCGGAAGCGTATCTACCTACTTATTAGTAAGGTTATCGAATTGACTGGTAGTTATAACTATAGTATCTGCGATATCAGCCGCTATAGTATTAAAACTAGCTAGAAGAATTCCTACTTACTAGGCAATCGCTTTGGCAGTACTAGGGTAATCACTAGTAACTATATAGATAACTATACCTACCCGGTAGTAGGCCTAGATTAAGCCCACTATCTCAGGGTATAGGGAATTATATAAGCCAATTAGTCTAAGGAAGTATAAATCATTCTCTATATCTTTGCGATTTAGATTAGAACCTTTAAGTAGTTATACCTGGTTAGTGTACAATCGATAGGCTAAAGCTAATACCCGAAGTCCCTGTTTAGCGAGTTCCTCTATATTCTAGAGTATCCTTTCGCGGTAGTTGTTGGTTATTAGGACGGGGGTTAACGAATCCTAGTCCTAGATAATTAAGGTATATAAGGCTACGATACGCTCGACTGTACCCTTAGTAAATACTATTATATGGTCCTTATATAGGGTAGCTTTGTTGAAAATAACGGACATTTTTTTGATAGTTGAGTTAAATAGGAATTTAGCCTTTTGGTACTATACTGTACCTTAACCCTTAGTCTAGCGGTCGCGGTTCCAGTTGAACCTTAATATAAAAATATAAATAGTAATTTCTGTAGGTTTACCTTATATGTGCTATTCTCCCTCTTTAGACTTATAAATGTAAGAGAGGTTTGCTATAGACGCGATATCTAAGAAGTCTTCTAGCTAGCGGTTTCCTGAGACTAGACCTTCTATACTTTCTATAGGGGGGCCTTCCTTTTTATTAATGAGTTACAAAGGTAGAATAGGAGTGTAGGTAATATCTCTAACAGTTAGATTAAAAGGCTTATTAGACGAGCCGACAGAGTATATCCCCTAAGATAGGATCTATGCCTTTTTGATAACCATTTTGCCTTAAGTCAAAGTACCTATCTTATTGGAATAAATGTCTATAATAGTACCGAGTGCCTCTAATAAGTCTAATTTATAAATAATCACGTTCCGCTTAACTATATATTTAGTACCTACTACTATTGTGATAGTAAGTATAACTACTAGATATACTGGAATCATACTAATACCGGTTGTAATAGTATATATAATAACTTCCTTACTACTACTGAATAAGTTTATAGCTATATAAATAATGGTAAATATAATAGTAATTCTAAATAGTAAATAGGCTAGTTTTAAAAGCTTCCTTTATAAGAGAGTTCCGATATTAATACTAAGGAATCGACCTATAGTATCTATCTATATAAGAGTCTAGGCCTAAATATACTACCGCTTCTTAGTCTCGCCGTTAGGACTATGCTTAATAGGACGACGCTTACTACCGCTAGCCTATAATGTGAGGGCAATAGAACTAATTTCGGTAAATATACCTATACTGATAACCATACTATACCTACGACCATAAATAACGGTATTAGAACTGTAGGTAATGTTAAGGTGGTCTCTAGGCCTAGTATCCTCTTTAAAGTTGAGTTGTATTCCTTCTAGATAGGTAAAGACTCGCCTATCAGAAGAGCCTTATTGGTCTCGAAGTTAACTATTTCAACTAGGCTTTTATATTATTAGTAAAAGGCCTACCAATTCCTTTAATAACTTTAGAATCATCTTACTAAATATCCGCTAGAATAGTATCCCCTATCCTTAGCTTAATTATATTACCCGGTATAATCTTAGATAATAGTACTGAGAATGTCTGTCTACCTCTTGAGATAGTCCCTGTCGGTAATAATAGCGAATGTAATGACTCTATAGTCTTTTTAGCGGCATACTTCTGAAAGAATCTAATAACAATATTTAAGATAATAACTATATAGATCACTCTGCCCTTAATCTATGACTGAATTCTAAAACTAACCGCTATGGCTAGAATCAGTACCTATAATAAACGACTAGATTAGAATTAGACAATTTTTAACTAGTTTCCTCGGCTTAATTAAAGAGGATAGCAGTCTCTTACTAGTATTATTGCGTTAGCTACCTGCTGTACAAAAATCTTGACTAACAATATACCTTCCCCTTTATCTAGTTAATTAGGACCATATTGCTAGAAACGATGACTTACTTTGTTAAGGGGTAGACTATTGTCTAGCTTAGTAGTGAGTTCTTTGATTATATCCTTATAAGCCAGTATATAAGCTGGCTAGCTTAGTAGACTACTGCCTGACCTAGAGTTAGGCGCGATATCATTTTTCTTATCTAGTATTAGAGATTATTTTAGTTAAGTAGCTAGCTATAGCTAGGCATAATGGTTACTAAGCCGCTTGTTTCTCTGTCTTACCTAAAGTATCTACTAGCTAAAGTATTAAACTAGATATAAGCTCTATATAGGGATTATAGGCTTTATATTTATTAGGTCTTATGCGATATCTGCGATTAGTTATAATAAGGAGTCGGTATAAGTGCCCTATATTAAGCTTTAGTTTATCGGTAGATTACTAGGTAGTAACCTATATTATACTGTTTATAGGAGCTATTACTAGTTATAGGCTTAGTGCTGAGACGTTAGGCTGTATCTATAAGGTGGGTACGTCGCCTTATGATTAGTAGCTATTAGATAGTAGTTAATTATAATCCGATATTTAATTATAATCGAAGAAATATCCTAATCGCGGTAAGTCTAGTTGGAGTCTACCTAATAATAGCAATACTGCTGAGAACTTCTAAGCGCTAAGAATCAGTCTCTATATACTAAGGATACCTAGTTCCTATAAACAGA